GATTGATCTTTAAAGTGACTAATGACTCATGAATGAAGTTTGCAACTTCTATTTCTAATGCTATATGCTACTCTCCGAAAGTCAAAATTGACTCACATCATGCTGGTTTGCCTGAAGCAAACAAATTGTGAATGTTTTTTTTACACATAATAATCACTGCCTGAAAATTCTGACTGGCGCAGTTTGAAAATTAAATTCGTGAAAAATACTTGTTGAACTCCTTTTGGCATGAAATTTTTTCTGGAGAACCTAGACTCGTGATATTTGATGTCTATAAAAATATTTTGTTAAAAATATGCTTTGGTTATTCCAGAAAAATTTGTAAAGTTTTGGCAGTGTGCTGCCAATTATTTTTCTGCCTGGAGCAATGTTGTGAAAAATTTCAGAAAAAATACTTCCACACCTTGGATTGACATGAAAATTTTTATGTACGTTCTAGACTTACTGAACTACATATCTGCCAAATTTTGTGTCAAAATGTGTTACCGTTTTCCCCAGAAAATTCTGCAATCCAAGTCAAAATTCTGAAAAGTTTCTGCCGTTTTCAGCTTGTATATCTTGCTATTTTGTGATGTTTTCATGCTGATATGAAACTATGAAATAAAATGAGAGCTTGCTTGGAAAAGTGCTATTTTAGACTCCCCGAAATAGGAATGAATGGCCCGGCAGCGAACATGTGCTCATTATTCTTCGGCGAACGGTACTTCTCTCATTTTTCTAATTTATGAATTAATAAACAATATCTCTTGTCATGTCATGCCTTGTGTGTACCAAACATGATACTCTTTATTTAATGGATGTGCATGACTCAATTGAGAGTTTGGTGTCCAAGACATAAGGGACAATTATATCACATGTTATTGCATGCTTCTCTTTAATTGACAACTTTTAGCATATAATCTCTTGATTAGGCTCATATAAGAGCTTTTGTTATTTCTTGTTGGCAATTAATTATATGCTATAGGCCATAGCTATTGAGATTCATCACCCAACTTATAAGTGTGGCAATATCATGAATTCTCAATATGGTTAGGTTGCACCTGTCGTTGCTAAACCTTAGCTTGCATGTGATAATAGTTAAAGGCTATCACATGTTTACCGTGTTAGTTTCTGCTATAGAAACTTTTTGACATGAGATTTGGACATATGATATTTAAATTTATAGCCCTCATTGTTTTGTATATTTATTTGCCCAGAAGGTAGATTAAGGATTTTAATTCTCTAAGTCATCCTTTTAGGATGAATCTTGACAATGAATTCTTGACAAAAAATGGTCAACCTATCCCATCAATTCCCGAAGGATTGCTTGACGTTACTATGAGTCAAGTTTTTTTTTACTAAGTCTAACTCACTGCAGATCACAAATCAATCCCTCAAGGATTGCTATACCCCATTTTTTCACCTAGTACGTGGTTTCAAAAGTAATATTTTCCTATCTGCGTTATTTTATTTGCGCAGTCTATTTTATATCACCACCACAACGTACCTATAAAAGGGCTATCAAAGAAACCTCCGTCTATTGATTAAATACTGAAAGTCCATGATAGAGGATCAATACATATAATTGGGTACGTTGACTGCATTCCTAATGAAGATTGTTTCTCGGCATTAGGGGGAGATAATATACTACTCCGTAGCTTTTTGGAATGCCAAGAAATTTCATAAGAATAAAAACATCTTCATTATTTAAATCCATGTACTAGTTAGATTGAACTGGAAGTTCAAAAGATAATCTATTTGCGATTTTAGCAAATAATCTGCCAAATACATCTATTGATCATAAAAGAAGTGACTAGGTCCTATATCCTTGGACCAAACATAGCTATCGATACTCCTTGACACTAGAAGTGTAGGAGATCTATCGGTGAAAGAGATATGGATCATAATACTAGATCTAGTAAAAAAATATTGTCACTCTTGAAATAGCTTGAATAATTATGTCCTGCAGATGTTCGTCCAGATGACGAAAAACCCTGGTAAGACTTATAGGTGCACCAAACAAACGTAATACTAGGGATGCGGAACGACCAGATCAAAATATCTTTGGGAAATGTTTAGAATCTGGTTGTTTTAGAAATTGCCATTACTTTTACAAATATGGGAGTTTTACAAAAAGGTTATAGTTGTCGACAACACAATTGCCATTACAAATTGCTCGTTATATAATCTGGATCCAGAGTTAGGCACCAGAAGTGCCATGACTATTTAATATATAAAGGAGCAATTAAGGCATAGCTTGACTCGCTAAAATGAATAAATTCTCTTTATAACAATACACCATTTGAGCGTTAACCCTGAAGGTTACAAATGGGTGTGTGCATGAAAGAGAAATAAGAATAATGAGGTGATAAAGCGAGTTTGTAGCCTATGGGTTCACGCAGAGACCCTTAATTGATTTTAATCAAATATACTCTCCCACGGTAAATGGCATTAAGTTCCGCTACATAATACAATTGGCAGAATAATAAATTTAGATATGCAGTTAAATTTATCTTGAGAAATCCCTGATGGATTCATAATTCTCGAAATGAGGATTTTTAAGTATTATTATGTGTCATTATTTACTCTTTAAAGGGTTGCGAATGGAGTTGATATCCTCATTGAAGGAATAATATGTACCATTGTGTGCCCAATAAAGGGTTGATAATGAACTTATTTATTATTTATTATCTCGGTCAAGATTTATGGTGTAAACATCAATGAAATATATAAAGAGCTTGATAATGTCAATTCATGTTTAAAGACTGAGACTTTTGAAATAAAAAGCTTGTGAAACCTATAAGTATTATCTCGACTTGAAGATCGAGTTTTTCTTTGAAGAATTTTGTTTATATACGCCAGTCAGCCTACATCTAAAAATACTTTTTCACATGTCTATATGCATAAATGTCATGTTTTTATCAAACTAAAGGTTGCCTAATAATCTCTTGAAGCAGATAAGGAACCTTTTTGGACTCGAAGTCCCTTACTTCATTATCGATGGAGCACCATTATAGAACCAGAAGTTCCATAATCGCAACATATTTGCGATAAATTGCTAGCAAAATTTAGTGCTCCCCCTACAAATGAAGTACTTGAATAATGATTAACATATCCTCCGGTATCTTCGAGATACCAAGACATGACATTTATGTAAGAAACCATGATACAGTTTTAATAGGCTACTTGGGTACTGACTATTTTGTTTGATCCCCGCAATGCCAAGTCCAAACTGGTTATACAATGAATTTCTCTAAATGTTCAAAATGAGGACAATAACACTTGTGTTGCACAAATGTTATATGAGCTCTAGAAGAGCCATAAGATTATTGTACACTACTCTAGTGACAATCCAGAAGATTTGTCCAATCCATCTCTTCAGATTTTGAAATAAATGTAGAACTTGAAGATTGTTATCTTCAGGGGGAGACGGGAAATACATTTACTTGAATCAATCTGGAAGATTGAATGTAAAATCCTGAAGATTAAGTCATAAAAGACTAACAGTTGCGCACTATTTGCAACACAACGGGAAGTACATTTACTTGAATCAATCCGGAAGATTGAACGTAAGATCCTTTAGATTAAGTCATAAAAGATTAACAGTTGCGCACTATTTGCAACGCATAAATACATAAATATCATGTACTCTTTTCCTCACTAGTTTTCTCCCATTGGGTTTTCTAGTGTGGTTTTTAACGAGACATGAGTATGATATAGTAATGACAATGGGGAAAAGTTGCAAAATAATTGCTTAAATGGACAAACCCCAAAATCCTGAAGATTATGCAGTTTGCGCCCTGAAGGCTTATGGTTGTACTCTTTTTCCCTTAACTAAGTTTTTCCCACAGGGTTTTTATAAGTTAAGGTTTTTAATGAGGCAACCAATACAATATATGTTTTTACATATATCATGTACTCTTTTCTTCAACTAGGTTTTTTCCCATGTGGTTTTCCTAGTGAAGTTTTTAACGAGACATGGATATATTTGAATATATATTTATACCCCTTTTGTCTAGGTTTTTCCCACAGGGTTTTCCTAGCAAATTTTTACGAGGCAGGATCATGTCAAATAATGTCCAAGGGGGAGTGTTATAAAGAAAACATTATTGTGGACATTATTATTCATTTTGTAACAGTTGTAACTGATATACTTATTACCATTTATATGCACTTATTATTGTCTTGTACAGATAGATATCTTTGTATAAGAAAGACTGATGAATGAGAAGATCCTGGGGTTTTCCCTCTCTATTCTCTGTATAATTCTTCTTCTTGTTTATTGCAATTTCTATGATTTTCTGACAGTTAATAATTATGTTCACAACTCTATATATGTTGATAATTATAAAAAAATATATTTATAATTTATGAAACTATATATTCCTAATTATAAACAGTTTTGCAAGGTGAATACGGTTACTACACACAACATAATTTGGTCCGGTTGATTTGAAATAGAAAAGCAATGTTTGGATAAATTGTGGGACTCATGCATTAAATTAAATGCTCATCCTGCATGTTCACACTTTAATCAATGTCTCCTGCAGATTCGGATTGAATGATAAATTTTGTTCTTGACTCTCGGATCTGCATCACTACCCGAGGCTCGATTTGTCACCTTCCAAGTTCCAACACCACCAATCGACGGCGCTGTGGCTCTCAACTTCGATCCGATCCAGTTAGAGATATGAGCAAATGACTAAAATATGTATTGACCAACATGTATTTGTGTATAGGAAAACTGTGTATTGTTTGTCTTAGAATAAAGAATCGATTTTGGTTCGAACAAACGTTTTTTGGGTAAAAATTCATATGGTTAATTATTTTCATATTAATGAACTGGCCGGTTTGATGGGACGTGTCAATGTTGGAAAGCCGTAACCTGAACGCACTATAACCAAAGCGGGAAACATATATTCATCGGAACCCGGATTTAGTGTCCTCAGTCTGCATTTGCTCCGATCCATCAAATCATCTATCTTTTCTTTCTTTCTTTCTTTCATTCTTTCAGTTTCCAATCTGGGCTTCTAGTCTGGCGAATGCGTATAGTATACGCAGGAGACGAAAAAGATAGGGTAAAGTAGAAGTAAAGGCGTACGTTGATTGGAATGACATGAAAGAAATTTGTGATTCTCAATCAATCTACAGAGAAAAGTATGCAGGGTCATCATTGCTACAATGGGTCTTTGTACTGGCATCAAACTAACCGATGTGTTTTGCACATCACCCTACAATTGCTTGCAATTTCAGATGTGCTTTTAGGTTCACGAATGAATTGAGCATACACACACATTTACTTCTTTTCTCTTCTCAGTATATAGGGTCCAAAGAGACTGATCAAATTCATGATTTTTGGACACCAGATCAGAGAAGCATTACAGTTGGATCAAATGAAGAATGGTTCTCGTCTTCTCTCCAGTAAGTCTTTTGTTTTTCATTTTTCCAAAAGCTGCTTGTGTGTATCAAACTATACTATTTGATCTTTTCAGATATGGAACTTGGAGAAGTCGTCCACATGCTCAAGGCCCAGAAAATACAGTCAAGGTTGAGCTAAGAAACAAAGAAAATGAAGCAGCAGAACTTGAAAAACAGTATGTATGTGAACATCTTTTCTTCTTATCTGCTCATTCTGGTGAGGCTTTGCTAACTTTTTCATAAGGAGAGGCTTATTAATGCTTCATTTCAAGAGAAAAGGAGAAGGGTTGAAATGGAAAAGCTTGTTGGTAAATATGTTACTATATTTCTTGAGAAATAGTGTGTTCTATTCTATTTGGCAATTTTTAAAATTCCTTCTTCTCTTGATGACTGTAACTTTACAAACATTTTTCTCCAATTCTTTGGAACGAGAGAATGATTTGGATAGCAGCATTACTAACTTAAGTTGGATGTAAAGACTTCAAATTTTTTGTTCCTTTTACTTTTTTAAAATTAGAACAGGGTTTTCTTACCTTTTACTTATGTGAAGTAAAATCTTTGGTCCAAGAACTTCATGGATATTCAAATAAACTTAACTCTTCATGGATGTATTATTTATGAATTAGTTTCTTTTGCTTCTTTGCATCTGTGTAGAATAAGCAACAAACTCTTATTTACTATGGTTTTCTAAGCTTTATACTGTGTTATTTTTTAGTTTTCAATGATGAATATTCAATCATCACTTTAATGCTTTCTAGATAATCTTTTCAGATGCCTTCCACCATTCAAGAATTGGAGGCTGCTATACTAGACACTGTTTATCAAGCCAATTCTATTCTTTGTCTTAACCCTAATGCCCTCCAACAATACAAGACTCGCCAAAGAAAAGTAAGTCCTGTATTTCTCTGTGATTTAATCCTGCTTTCTTTTGCCTCAGTATCATCTGATTCAATACTCTAGTTATTTCATCATTCATCTCCTTTGTATATCTGTCCAAAATTTTTGATTTCTTTTTTTTTTTTTACCGTAAATTGTTTGCTTTAATTGTTATTTTAGCTTTAATATTTTTGAATTTTGACTAATTGATCACATTTAATCTTAAATTATTAAACATGTGTCTTTTTTATGTTAAAATATTTCGTAATTAGTTCTAACGGGTAAATACAATGAAATAAATTAAACTTGAAAATTAAAAGCAAAGTTACCATATGCCTTAAACGACATAATTTGCAATTGGATATGTAACTTCCGTATTCATGCAAATGCAAAGAAACAAACCACCCCACTCCCAAACCCTCTATATATTCCTATTCACCACCACCCTTCATTTTTCACTTCACTTATGTGATTTTCTTTCTTTTCCAGCTTCATTCCTCATCTTCTTTTCCTCTTCACACTCTCAGCTCACTCATGAATCCAACACAAATAATTTTATTTGGTTTTGTCACCACTCTTTTTATGTTGTTGGTATTTTTCATGGGTTACCTAACCTATAGGGAAACTATTGTTCTCAATGCCTTCTTCTTGGGTGTTTGGTGCTTTGCTTGGGGACTTGCATCATCAACATTCTATGATGCAGTGTCCCTAAACTCATATTTTAGTGAGTCCGCAATTATAATGCACATTGTGATGAATAGTCTTGGGGTGGGGTACTTTATTTGGAAAATTGTGCAAGGTTGGGGTGATAACAACCGTATCATCATATTTCTTGGGATATGTATTTGGATTTTTCTATTACTACTGAGTATATTAGAACATTTCCTATTTACTCGTTTGAAATGCAATCAATTTCAAACTATTGATAAATGGTACCCCATAATCGTGGTTTTTATGGCGGTTTTGGAGAGCGGAGTTACAAAGGGACTGAAAATGAGAGAAGAGAGACGTAGCAGGCACACTTTCGTGACATGTGTTCAAACACTTCTATCGATAATGAAAAATGTAGTAGCTCAAAATTTGAGTGACCGTCAAGCAATAAAAGATGCTTTATTTGTTTTGGTGGAGGGAGCTAATCGATTAATTCGTGACAATTGCCGACCATCGGAACTAACCTGCGGCTGCTGCGGCCTAAGTCAGCAATTGTAAGAAAGTAGTCGATCAGTTCTCTCCACCAAAACAAGTAAAGCATCTTTTATTGCTTGACGGTCACTCGGATTTTGAACTACTATATTTTTTATTGTCGATAGAAATGTTTGAACACGTGTCACAAAAGTGTGCCTGCTACGTCTCTCTTCCCTCATTTTTAGTCCTTTTGTAACTCCGCTCTCCAAAACCGTCATAAAAGCCACGGTTATGATAGTTTGAAATTGGTTGCGTTTCAAACGAGTAAATAGGAAATGTTCTAATATACTCAATAGTAATAGAAAAATTCAAATACATATCCCAAGGAATAGGATGATACGGTTGTTATCACCCCAGCCTTGCACAGTTTTCCAAATAAATTACACCACCCCAAGGCTATTCATCACAATATGCATTATGATTGCGGTCTCATGAAAATGTGAGTCTAGGGACATTGCTTTATAGGATTATGCAAGTCACTGCACCAATAACAGAAAAAAAATGGTGACAAATAAAATTATTTGTGTTAGAGTCATCATGAGAGAGTGAAGATTGAGTTAGAAGGGAAGAAAATCAGATGAGTGAAGTGAAGAATGGAAGGGTGGTGGAGAATAGGAATATATAGAGGGTTTGGGTGTAGGGTGCTTTGTTTCTTTGCAATTGCATGAATACGGTAGCCACGTATCCAATTGCAAATTCTGTCTAAATTTTTTATATTAGGGTATGTGGTTGGTAACTTTGCTTATGATTTTCAAGTTTAATTTGCTTCATTGTATTTACCTGTCAGGATCAATTACTGAATATTTTAACATAAAAAGACACATGTTTAATAATTTAAGATTAAATGTGATCAATTAGTCGAAATTCAAAAATATTATAGTTGAAATAACAATTAAAGCAAACAATTTACTCGATGGAGTTGTTCAAGCTGGTGGTGTGGGGCGCGTCGATGAAGTTGCGCGGGTTCGCGGAGATGACCTGGGTCGGTGCCGGAGGTTTTCAGGCCGTTTGCGCTGCATTTTCTGCTGTTGTAGATGTTTCTCTGCCGGTGATCTTCCACGCCGTGGGCACCAACAACTTCGAGCCGGAGAGACGTAATATGTGCTGTGTCCATCTTCAATATCTTTCCTCTTTCTTGTGAGTTTGAAATCTTTAATCAAAATTTACATCTTGTCAGTGTGTATGTTATGTTTTTGACTGCTTGTACACGAGTTGATGCCTTGTTATCAAATAGGTTCTTGCTGGAAGCTATTTCTCTATGGCTGGAGCTCTCATTGGCATTATTAAAGCTGGGAGTATACCAAATGTGATAGCTAATGCAGCGCAAATCCTCAACGGCTAATAATCACATTAGGCACATCACCTCCGTTACTTTCAGAACTTTGTAAAATGGAAAAATTAGCTGAAAACTTTATGTGGAAATGGAAAGGAGTGTGGAGGTGGACTTCGTAAATTGGGTGTAAAAATACAAAAGAAAAAAAAAAACTGCAAATAATGCTGAAGTTGTATGCAGTGTATTTTTCAACTTTTTGCTGTTCCAAATTGTAAAAAGGAAAAATTAGCTGAAAACTTTATGTGGAAATGGAAAGGAGTGTGGAGGTGGTCTTCGTAATTGTGGGTGTTATATCAAAATTGTTTACATTATTAATAAACAAAATATAAATATAAATTTAGTTATCTCTATAGTTTTTAAACACGACGATTAAAATTTAATACTTTAAGGAATTGAAATATAATTTGAACTATAACTTGTACGGAGTAATTATTTGCATTTATCAAAATTATAAATATTATAATAATTAATAACATCAGACTTCAACTCTAAGTCTTAAGTTCCAACTTTTGATGTTTTAATAATTATAATTTTTCAAAATATTAACTATGCAGATTGATGATTTTTCAGCTTGTCATCAATAAAACACTTAAGTGGCACTTCAAGTGAGCCAACTGAACAATCGGTTAGGCAAAAAAAGGAAACATTCAAATAGTGGTTTCCACCAAAATAGAACCGAATACCGAACCGAATCCAAAATCGAACTTTTTAAAACTGAACAGATACTGAACCGAACTCTAATGTTAAACTGAATGGTTTAATTTTTTAAAATTGAAACCGAAAAAAAAAAAAAAAAAAATGAAGCGAAACCCAAAACGACCACTCCTAGGGTGTGTTTGGTTGGTAAGTTTAGCACTTAGGTATGTTTATAAAAGTGATTGTTATTGTTTGGTTGACTGATTTTTTAAAACACACTATTATGGGTTTGGAATACCCCATTAATGGAAAAAAAAAACCCCATTCTCTTATTTTATAAGGGTTTAATCCCATTATTCATCCTTAGCCTAATCATTTTCATTCCACCCTACTACCATGCAAAATACTTTCACCAAACCTCATTACTATTACCAAGTATTTGATGCCCATTCCGATTCGGATTCCGATTCTTATGTACGAACCAAACACACCTCTAATTTTGATTTTTTAAAAAAAATCGAAACCGAAACCCAAAACGCCCACCCCTAATTTTGAAGACCGATGTATGAGACATAGTTGTTGTAAATACTTAAAACATTTTGCAAGCTTATTTGAAATATTTTATGTCTCGTATTATAGAATATTTGATTGAAAATTCAAAAAACTTTTTGTCTCATATTATATTACTACCTCCCTCCTATTTTATGTGTTTTGGTTCGATTAACGATGTTTAAATGAAATTATTTTTAATCTAATTTTTTATAATATTAAATTTGTATAGTATACATAATTTATATATTTAAAAACTACACTAAAAGTACTATTAAACACCCAAAAAATAAATTTAAAAATAAGTAAAAATACTAAAGAAAATAAACAAAATAAGAAAGAGTTAGTTTGATTCACTAAATAATTTCAGGACAGATAAAATGGGACAAATAGAGTATAATTTTTGCCAGGTGAATTGAATTTTTTAATTCTATACATTCGGACAATTCTGTAATGAGATTCTATACCTTTTTAGGAGCCTTTTTTGCAGGAAGTGGGTGATTTTAGGAGCCTTTTTTGCAATTTACACCCCATGGATCAAGCCTTTATCATCACAATCCTGTACCATTTCACTTGAACCATTCGCCACCAAGATAAATAATGAATGTTCATTTTGTAAGAACCAATATTTCACTTGACACAAGTGTAGGTTCACTTTTCCTCCTTAACATTGCATACAATAGAGTTAAGAATGGTATGAGATAACTCACGCAATCAGGCAAAAAATACAAATAAAAAACCTCGTAGTAGTGATAAACTTCAAAATGCAAATGAAAAAGCAATAATAATACTTATACATATCCCAAATGACCATAACAAAAATACACTAGGCTAGATATGCAAATCGGCAGACTCCGAGCCGCCTTACTACTGCTGGTTGCATGCCACGCGGTGCACATCTGAAGACGAATCGTCATCCGAATCGTAAGCCTCTTGTTGCCTCTGCTGCTCCTTGCGCCTCATTTCTTCCTCGATGTTCACGTCCTGCAACGTCGTTTCCTCGCACTCATCGAGGTTGACGGGTAACGAGGACGGACTCGGTTTCGGTGGCAGGAGAGTCTCCAGGGCGCGGCATGCCTCGGGGGAAAGAGCCCCGGGCTCGGGAAATTCCACGTCAAAATTGATGTACAAGCGGCCCTTCATGAACGGCCTTTCGTGGTGTGGCATTCCCTCGTCGTTTATTGCCTTGGATTGATCTGTGAAAGTAGAAGTGAATTAAGAAATGTAATTTTTTTTTTTTTTCATCCCACGTAGTAGCGGAAATCAAGGTTGAAACAATCGCTAGGCGCCTGGGGACCGCCTAGGGTACCTAGAGCGATTAATCGGCACCTAGAGCGCCTAGGCGGGCGCCTAGGTGGCCGACCGCCTAGCGCCTAGGCGCCATCGGCACCTAGGCCCGATTTTTGCAACACTGGCGGAAACTATAGGGTGCGGGATGTTACCGGGCTTAATAACTTCGCCGGGTCCTGATTTGATTAGAAGCTGCCTGCCATCGAGATGAGTTATGACGAACTGAAAGCCACAAAGAGCTTCGGTTAAACTGAGGGTGTGCTCCATATAGAGATCATCGAACTTCCGCTTGAACTTGGGGTGTTCCCTCTGCTGTACCACGAAAACAATATCCCCAGCAATGGTATCGGGCTGCAAGTTCCAGTACCAGAAAAGATGAGCAAGAACAACACAACCTTTGTCGAAACAAACAGCAAAACAAAACAAAATTGAACCATAATCAAAAATTTCTACGAAACCAGAATCGCAAAACGAATTTGGTCACTTACTGCCTCATCTGCTTCCCCAGTAAATACTATCTTTTCACCATTTTGCATCCCCTTCTCGACATTCACTTCCAGCACTTTCTTTTCTTGGGTAACCTTGCTTCCTTTGCACTGTGTACATTTGTCTCTTTCACTTATGGCCTCACCTGTGTCGAGGAAAAAAAACAAAAAAAAGATATAATGTGCGATTGATCCAATGTTCCCCATATCCCGAGACAACCAATAAAAATTTCATTACATACCTGATCCTCGGCAATCAGGACAGACATGTTGCATCTGTTGGATCATGCCGGGTGCGATCTGTCGTGTCGAAACCTTCATTCCAGTACCACGACACCCGTTGCATCTTCCAGTCGCTCCACTCTTTGAACCTTTCCTGATAACAGTTAGAATACATATATATATAGGTCAAAACGAAATTTGTTCATTATGTTTTCCGCATAAAATACGTGTATACAAAGGCTATACCCTTTGCACTTGTGGCACAATTTGTTCCTGGAAAGCGAGAGCTTTTTAGTTGTGCCGTTATACAAATCTTCTAGAGAAACTCTAAGAGTATGTATTACATCTTCCCCTTGTCTCTTCCTGCTCCTCGAGCTGCTACCACCTTGAAAATCAAATAACGGGAACAAAAACTTCATTTTCCAATTCAATAAAATAACAAACTGAAAAAATAAATAAATAATAATAATCATTCTCACCTCCAAATGGTCCGCCAAAGTGGGGACCACCCCCAAATGATCCACCAAAGAATGACTCAAAAATGTCAAAAGGACTATGGGCACCGGCACCCCCTCCCATTCCTTCTTTAAGGGCATCTTCGCCATACTGATCATAAACTTCTCTCTTTTCTGGATCGCTTAGAACTTCATAAGCTTGAGACAACTCCTTGAACTGATGACATTAGAGGGAAAAAAAAAAAGTTAACATGTAGGCCAAAAACCATTATTTCAAGGAAATGGTGTCCTTCTCTTTGGATACAAATTTGTTCCCAAGATTACTGATCCGGATAAACTGTAAGCAGGGACAGGGACGTCAATATAACACATTAACACCCACCTTCTCGGGATCTCCTCCCTTATCAGGATGATTCTTCATAGCCGCTTTTCTGTAGGCCTTCTTAAGCTCATCTTCGCTAGCACTTTTCGAAACACCAAGAACCTCATAGTATTTGGAGTTATCACCCCTTCGTGGACCCCTTCCAAACATATTGGACGCCCTTTACTCTGCAGAAAATACACTAAAGTTGCTATCATCTATCTAAAAACTCCTCGCAAATATATACAGGGTATATTATTTCAAAAAGGTGTGTTCTAAGAAATGAATCGCATCTTACAATACCATGTAAAGCTGAAAACCTGCTCAAATTTCAACAATTCAATTTTAATACAAGCCCAGTATCAAGTATCAACTCACTAACTACTTTAATTAGATTCAATTCTCAATGGGTTTAATCATGATAATGCACAAGAACACCCTATGCAAGATCAGTTAGAAGTTAGAACACCAAGACAGATTAAAACCCTAAAAATCCTATAAGTCAACCATCAAAGCAGCAGTGAAAATTTCCCCAAAACATACTTACAATCAATCAAATCCCATCATCTCTCTCAGAAAAACCTAGCTTCTAGTATTGTTAAAACCTATTTCACATCTTCAACCCCAAATGCCTAACGTTTGATGTTTGATAGCAAGCAATTGAACATATGAATACAATTAAGAAAACTCCATACCACGGAGTTTAGAAAAATCTTCACGCAATCGATTTATGGGGGAAAGAGTTTCAATCTTTGCCAAACAGAACCATAAAGAGTAAAGACACCAGCTTTACACCCGAATTTCAATCTTAACCAAACACTCTTGAAGAAATCAATCGCTGAATCGACTGACCCGAGAGAAGAACTAACAGAAAAGATGCTAAATTTCTTCAGGTCATCGAGTCGAAAAGCAAATCGAGGAATCCAAATAGAGACAACGAAGAAGATGATGAATAAAGAAAGGCAAAGGGTTGAAGAAAATACCTGGAAAAAGGAGGAGTTGTAGAGAGAGAGAGAGAGGGAAAGGAGAGCGCTTTGGGCCTCCCCAATTCTCCCACTCTGTACGCAAGTTCCCTTCGCAGTGTGATTTCCTTGTTTTCAAGAATGGGTTTCCTCCTTGGCGGTGGACTCGTTTACTACTGACGCCAAACCTTAATTGGTGGACTCTGCCCTCCTATGTTGACTCTGGCCCTACTCTCCTAACCTTAAACGACTGTGAAGTATGTATCCGCTGAATCAGTCCGACCATGCATGGAAACTACCAATACAAATTTTTTATTCTCTTTCTTATTCCCTGTAGAGATACAATTACATTGAACTTAGGATTGTTATTATGTTCTTGGAAGGAAAAATCAAGAATTGGATAACAGCAATAATATATATAACATAATATTTCGGATTGTGCGACATATTAATGAAAAAGAATTGTGTCTAACGTGTAACGTGTTATTATTCGAACATTGGATAACATCAATAACATTATATTTTGGATTGTTATTCGCGACACATTAGTTGAAAACAGGGCCGGATTTTAGGCTGTGCAAGCTGGGCTACCGCACAGGGCCCCCAATTTTAGAGGGGCCCCAAATTTTAGAGGTTCAATATTTAATTTTTACACAGTTAGTTTCGAAATAAAAATTAAAAGTTTTCAATTGAATATAAAAGGTTTTATGAAGAGGTGGTGAGAATATGTATTTATTGTATTTTAACTTGTAGGTCAAAGGTTCGAAACTTACATGTATTGGTTTTCAAAATTGTAATTTTGTAGGGCCACATTTATTTACTAGAACAGGGCCACAAAAACTTAAAATACGGCCCTGGTTGAAAAGAATTGTGTCTAACATGTCGTCATAACAATCTATATATATATAAAAGTAAAATCCTCCTAGCCAAATTTTCCCCCCAAAACTTAGAGGCATTTTTGTAATATCAAATATTTAGACAAATATGGCATTTTAATAATATTAAAGATTTTACCTTTCTTGAGATCTCTTACCATTTTATAATTTCAATACTAAACCCTTTTGATCTCATCCATTGTGTATAAATACACCTTATATGACCATACACAACCCCAACTAAGGTTAATTATTTTATTGATTTTTGCTAATCATCCTGTGATCTTCCACAGTTGAGGTTGATACGTGATTTGCACTGGTGAGGTTTTCATTATCTTAGTTTCTTTAATTTTTTATTCTTTTTGGGTTTTGTTTTGTTTTTATTCTTTTGTATTTTCTGATTTTTAAACAACAAAAATGGTTCGTAAGAAAAAATGTTGATATATTCTTTTCTTTTTTTTTTTGTCTATTTTTGTAGAGAAGATACGGATCTAGAAAGATTGATCGGGAAGCAATAGACTTCTAATCATCCTGTGATCTTCCACAGTTGAGGTTGATACGTGATTTGCACGGGTGAGGTTTTCATTATCTTAGTTTCTTTTATTTTTTCTTCTTTTTGGGTTTTGTTTTGTTTTTATTTTTTTGTATTTTTTGATTTTTAAACAACAAAAGTGGTTCGTAAGAAAAAATGTTGATATATTCTTTTTTTTTTGTCTATTTTTGTGGAGAAGATACTATACGGATCTAGAAAGATTGACCGGGAAGCAATAGACTTCTAATCATCATGTGATCTTCCACAATTGAGGTTGATACGTGATTTACATTGGTGAGGTTTTCATCATCTTAGTTTCTTTTATTTTTTTCTTCTTTTTGGGTTTTGTTTTGTTTTTATTTTTTTGTATTTTATGGTTTTTAAACAACAAAAGTGGTTCATAAGAAAACATGTTGATATATATATTTTTTTGTCTTTTTTTTTTTTTTTTTTTTTTTTGTGGAGAAGATACAGATCTAGAAAGATTGATCGGGAAGCAAAAGAGTTCCTTGCTCATCAAGATGATAAAGTTTTGTGATCGAGGGACGAATTATGTGTATATGTAAATATATATAGACTTATAGAGGGAACCATACTAAGAATACAATAAAAACCAAAATGAAATTAAAAGCATTTTTTAGTTGTCAATAGATCAAAGCATTGGACTTTATTTCGATTCAATTTCTCCGTTTTTAAAGTGTACATTTTTTGTAATAAAAGAGTAGTTTGTCTTTCCCTTCAAGACGTTTTTCTTGCCATTTAATTTTATTTTTTTTTTAGGAAAAAAATGATTAAGTACTGTGGCTTTTTTTTTTCAATAGAGTATTATTTTGATTTTATTCTTTATTTGACATTCCTTGATATAAAATCACTTTACTAATGTAAAATAATGTTATTGACTTACCATGTTTGCTTTGATATGCTAAGCCATTTAAAATTTAATACGGAGTAAAATTTATAATTGTAATACTTCCGTAATAATATTGAATAAATATTAATCATATGTTTAGATTTAATAATATATTATTATATTAAAAGAATTATTTATTAATTTAATATAGTGATGGTTAATACGGGTAAACCATATATAAGCAATATTTTACCTTAAGAATATTATACCTTAATTATAAAAATTCTACCTAATAATTTTAGTATTAAAAGTCATACAATAATTACCATAAACAATGTTTAATAAACAATGTTTAATAATTGCCAAATTCTATTATGCAATAAAAATTACTATTATAAAATTTTTTGTAATATGGACACATTATTTTTATTTAATTATTTCGATTTAATAATATTATATCTTATGTATAAAAATTCAAATAATACTTTTAGTACTATTGAATATTGATTGACTAACAATTATTTTAATTATTAAGGCAATTAATGGATATTTCGATTTAAAAAGTTTTCAAATATATGAATTATACATAGTAGCATTGAATCAATTAGTAAGACAATTATATTAGGTAATCTAATAAATAACTTACTTTTTAAATTATATCTCATCTTTAATCTTTAATAATGAATATTTTCTTAAAGTATATACATAGACTATGGTTATCAATATAAAATTAAAAGTATATATATATATATATATATATATATATATATATATATATATATATATATATATATAATGTATAATATTATTAGTACAAAATAAGTTATACTTACCTTAATAATTAATTATTAATATTATTACCTAATAATTATATATTGTTACCTTTTTCGGTGTAATTATTATGGTAATTTATATACATATATATTTTTATACTTAATGTATAATATATTGGCATGAAAAAAATTATACTTATCTTAATATATAATTAATTTTTAATATAATTTCCTTATTTTTATTAAAGATAATTATTTTAATAATTTTTCTTTCATTATTTTGTGTGATTATTATGGTAATGTATTTAAATTTTGGAAGAGATTATTACAAATATTATAATTAATATAAGTAATATAATTAATGAAATTATTATGGTAATTGTCACAATATTTGGTAATTATAATTAATATAATTAAAAAAATTGAGAAATATAAGATTTCTTCCCTAAAAATATTTGTGACAATTTAGTTAAATTACAATTAATAAAATATGAAATATAATTAAAGAAATGAAATTATTAAATTAACAAAACATGAATATTTCTAATCATACATACACTTATGCACTATAATAATCATGCAAAATTTAAATGCAACTTTTTAAATTTTTAAATGTAATTTTTTAATTATAAATCTATCAATATAAATTATAATTAATGAAATTATATTATAGAATTTTCCTATTTTCATTTTAATAAATATTATGTGTATATAAAATGAATTATACAATCATATAAGGAAATGCGTCGGATTAGAGTTTAAATTTATTCATACAAATTTTAGAATTTACATTTTTTTTATAAAACTAATCAAATGTTAATGTTAATAATAATAATAAGAATTTTAAAATCAGAATTATAAATTAAGTATTAGGGTAATAATTAATCTATATATATTATATTATTATTATTATTATTATTATTATTATTATTATTATTATTATTATTATTATTATATAAAAACAAAATCATCCCTTTTCAAAAAAATCATCCTTATTTTAACGCCCAAACTTTTGTAGTAAAGCTTATTTGGTAAGTAAATGTCTAATGGAAATTAAAAAAAAAAAATCTATTAATTGGTAATATTGCATAATTGGTAACATTATGTATGGTATTATATTCTATAATATAATAATATAATTGTTCAAGTATAATAAAAATCCTATGTAATAATGTAATAATAAAAAAATAAAAATAAAATTAAAATAATAACAATAACAATAACAATAACAATAATAATAATAATAATAATAATAATAACAATAACAACAAATTTAATAATCCAAACAAAACTATATACAAAATAAATTTAAAATTTAAAAAAAAAAAAAAAAAGGAAGAAGACAAATGTGGCTTCCCTTTGTAAATGATGTGGGATCATTTTGATTCCACATTGAAAATGTTTGGAAAGATGAGCTCTTAAACTCCTCTATATAAGAGGGGCATTTACAAACATATAATTGCTTGCCCATTAATATGGGCAAGTATTGAGAAGTCCAAAGACTTTTTTATTTTTATTTTTTTATTTTTTTTTTATTTTAGTACTATTAACCTGACAAATTATGCTGTGGATATGTGTCCACCTTGCAATGTAGACACAGTTCAAAAATTGTTCATAATTATTAATATATAATTCAAAAAGTTATGAACATATAGTTCTATAATTATGAACATAGTGTTGTGAACATAATTATGAACATATAGTTATGTAATCATGAATATAGAGATTCAATAATTGTGAATATGAAGTTAAAACTTATGCATATATATCTTTATAATTATGAACATATAGTTCAGTAACTATGAATTTAGAGTTCTGTAATTATAAATATAGAGTTCAATACGTACTTATGAATATGAAGTTCAAAAATTATGAATATATAGCTTTATAATAATGAACATATAGTTTAGTAATTATAAACATAGAACTGTGTCCACCTTGCAAGGTGGACACGGTTTCACAACATAACTATTCGATTGACCCTGTAACATGTAAACTTTCTCAACCTATTGAAACTCAACGTGTCAAAAGGCTTTTATTTAAGAAACCTTATCTTAATGGCTTCTTATTTTAGTTTTTTTTTTAATTTTTTTTTTTTAAATTTATTAG